CCCTGGTCTAGTTGTTGTGACATGAAATGTTCTATAGTGGCGTCCTGAGGGGAGAAGTTGCAACAGTTTATGTTAAGGTTTAGGATTTACGCACAGGGATAGAAAATGATACTGGAGTTCAAGTCACTCTTATTCCTGCTCAAAGCCACACACTTGAAAGTCGTACCAGGGTAAATAGATTTCTAACTAAGAGTATTCCTACCTATAATAATAAATACACATATATACATTTATATATTCACCATTATGGGTAGGAATACCATGCCCTAGAATTGGACACAAATGATAGTGAAACCTTTACTTTTACATTTTATATACAGAATTTGTGTACACACACAAACACACACACAACCAGTAGACCAGATCCAGAAAAATGGATTTGAAACTGGATAACCAACTGCACTCAACATGTGTCCTCAGTAGAACTGAATCTACATTTAGGGAAGCATGCTGTGGGGTATCACAAGGTTCTGTCTTAGGTCTAGTATTCCCCGGCATCATCATAAATGATTTAGATGAAAGGCTATAAGGAGAATAATAAAATTTGCAGAGAACAACAAGCTGAGGTGAGCAGCCAATACTTTAGAACGGGGGTGTCAAACTCATGTTGTCATGGCAGCATCATGTGACATATCGGGACTTTCCCCCCCCTTTGCTAAACCAGGCATGGGCGTGGCTAGCACGTGAAGCATCCAGCCCATGGGCCGGGAGTTTGACAGCCCTGCTCTAAAAGATAGACTTCTTAATGCACTTGAATATCCAACAAGATGCAATTTTGTGAGAAAAGAAAGATTTACCCTTAGGTGGAAAAAAATAAATGGACAAGTATAGATGGTACCTGGCTCAACAACAGTAACTGTGAAAGAAATCTGGGACTCCTAGTGGACAATAAATTAAGTATAAGCCAGCACTGTGCCTCAGCTGTCAGAAAGCCCAATGCAGTCCTGCAGGCTCCATCAACAGAGGGATAATATCAAGACCATGTGAAGTATTACCACTGTGTTATACTGCATTGATAAGACCACACTTGGAATGCTGTATAGTTTTGGTCACCACTATGCAAAAAAAAAAGATGCTGAGCTCCTAGAAACTGCAGAAGAGAAGCAATGAAAATGATTAGGAAACTGAAGACTAAAACATACGATGAATGGTTGCAGGAGCTGGATATGTCTAATCTAACAAAAAGAAGACTAGGAATGACATGATAACGGTCTTCCAATAATTGAGACGCTGTCACAGAAAAGAGAAGATCAATCTATTTTCCAAACCACTTGAGGGCAAGATAAAAAGCAACAGATGAGTTATCAATTTATAACTTTCCTGGTAGTGAGAACAATTAACCAGTGGAATGGTTTGCTTCCAAAAATTATGAATGCTCCATCATTGGAAGAAGAAATTGGATTGCCAGTTGTCTGAAATGGTTTATAGGTTTCCTGCTTGAGCAGGGGAAATTGAACTATAAGATTCCAAGATCTCTTCCAATTGATATTCTGTACTCTAAGCAGGCTTCCCTTTGCAGAGAACTCATGATTCAAACTTTATATACAAACTGATTTAACAAGTACTTAGACCCAATGAGAGAGAGGCAATGTTATAAAAAGCAGACAGCTGATATTTCCCATTTTCCAGGTGAAAAAACATACATAACAACATATATGGAGCTTCAATGGTGCAGTGGTTAGAGTGCAGTACTGCAAGCTACTCCCATTGCACTCCCGCCAGGCTCAAGGTTGACTCAGCCTTCCATCTTGCCAAGGTGGGTAAAATTAGGACCCAAATTGTTGGGGGCAATATGCTGACTCTGTAAACTACTTTGAGAGGGCTGTAAAGCACTAAAAAGTGGTATATAAGTCTAAGTGCTATTGCCATAATAAAGCTAGCTGGACTCTAGAATAAAATTACAATTTATAAATTGAATTGGATTAACAAAATGTATGATTTAAAAAAAATCTTCGTCATTTGTACCTTAGGTTGTACTGCTTGCTTCCCCCAGATTTCCCTTTCTTTGTATCCTTCTTCCCATCTTAAAAAGATCCACTGGTGTTCATAACCATCGAATTTTCACAAATTGAGTAAAATTTGAATCAACAAGTTGATGTGTGCACTCTTCCAAATAATAGTCCTCAGCTGTCTAGGCTGATGTTATAAAATACTCTCCTGATTTTCAAATTTGATTTTCAAATTTGAAAATTATTGTACCATAAATATTTATGGTGAAACATCTTCCCACCCATATACCAAATTTTTAAAATGAAAGTAAATTTGCGAAATAATTTTTTTGATGTAAAGTGTATGCTTGAAGTTCAAATATGTACCAAGACTATTGTAAATGCAGCAAAGGGAGTGATGGCTCATTGGTTAAAGATGCTGAGCTTGTCAGCTGGAAAGCCTGGGTTCAAGACCCAAGTTCCACATAACGAGGTGAATTCTTGTTACTTACCCCTACTCTTGCCTATCTAGAAGTTCAAAAACATATAAATGCAGTTAGATTAATATCCAACTTCAGTGGGAAGGTAATAATGTTATGTGCATCTCTGGCATATAGCCATGCTGGCCACATGACCATGAGAATTTTCTTCAGACAATGCTGGCTTCCTTGGCCAAGAAACGGAGATGAGCACCATGCCCTAGAGTTGGACATGACTGACCTTTACTTTACTCTACATGCACTTCTTCACAATAATGAGCAATGACAAGGATTATTTGATATATCAGTAAGCATAAATGATCAAGGGTGGCTAAAAAGCATGAAAGCAACATTGCCATAATATGAATGCTATGTAACTGGAAAGAAGTTACTATTTTTTAATTAAAAAGCTAAGTAAGAGTTAAACCAGCACTGAAATGATGCATTTCAATAAATACATTAAATACCTTATTTTATAGTAGCTTTTTGCAATCTTTTGAATTCTTATATGATTGTGATTACATCAAGCCACCATACTTTTATTTCCCCTATATATTTTATTAGGAAATAAAAGAACATGTTTGCATTCATTCCTTTTTATTTTAATTGGAAAATTGTTAAACGATCAACTCCTATGGGCTGACTATTTCCCTAGGAATTAATTGCTTGCCTTATTTCATTTTCAGTAACTGAGCAAATACCATGTTGCCAAAATGTTACATGAACACTAATTACATTTTCAGCAAAATGAATTAGAACTGTGGGTGTGAAGTTACATTAGCCAATTAGAAGTTATAGAAATTTGAAAATATAAAAAGCAAAAAGAAACTAGGAACACTTCTTTGTTTCTATACCTACTTCTCACTACATTCTTCAGTGCTCTGTCTATGGCCACACATGAAATTAGGGCTTGAATGAGTGCAGGGGCTAGCAGGGGCTGATAAAGTATTCTTGACACTCTGAATGGAATGCCTCCTGCTCTTCCTACGTTCCAGCCCTCTTCGTTCACTGGAACCAAGACTGGCCCTTCTTCTGTCTTTGCAGGCAATAGGAAGAGGTTCTCCACTAGCATCACCATCTTCATGTCTCAATGTCATCTAAAAAAAATGAAAGGGAAAGTGTAGGGAATAATACATATTTATTTATATATTGTTTTGTTTTGTCTCACAAAGACATCTGGAAATGTCTTTTTATAATTGTTCTTTATCAAGGCTTTAATAATCTAGATAATGCTACAGGAGATTTCAGATGCTTTTTACACATGTTGAAGAATCAATTTGTCTATGTAGAATTTCCAAATATAACATATGCTTCCTCTTCTATGTGCACACAAGAAAAATGTCCTGAACCCTCTGAACAGTCTGAAATCTCAGACTGAAAGTAAAAATAATAATGAGATCTTAAGTACAACTCTCACCCAAAATATTGCCTGTTCCTTGCTATGCACCCTTGGCATGAAAAATAAAGACAGATGCTGAAATTTCAAAGGATGAAGAGATGTGTATTTGTGAAAGATCAAAAAGGCAACATGAGAGCGGGCTTTCTGCTGTTCCTAATCCCTATCAGTCTGGTCTTCATGTTATTATTCATGTTATTACTGAGATAGCATCTCTCCTTCCTATGACTCTAGACACCATCCTTTCACAGCAGAGGGGCTAAACTGTACTCCCCCCAAAATTATTGGTTTTATTTCAAACCTGTGGGAAACAAAGAAGCTACTGGGAATTAAAACCTTTTGCTATCAATAGTCTAGACAATTATAATCTCCTTCAGCTAAAAGGAAAAGCTGAAAGTACTGTGAAAATGTGAACAAATAGCATTCATGCAGAAATGTATTATGCAGAAAATAAATTAATCTAAATATATTTATTTCTCTATTCCTTTACCTGCCTCTCAAAGACCAACCCCATGTCCACATTGTGAGAGGTAGAAACAGGAGAAAGAAAGGAATTGTTAGAAGTGGGCAAAGTATGGCATGGCCTTGTGACACAGGACCTTTCGGCAGCCATGAAGGCTATCCTGAGTCTCCTGGAAATGGCCTAAAGGATCTCTGGTGAAGTTGTAACAGAATCATAACAAGATACAAATAGACTGATCAAATGAAATATTACCACGACAATATTGAAGGACTAAGAGATAGAACAGACAGAACAAAATAACTACTTTAAACACAGCCGGCATGGGAAATAAAACAGAAGAACCTGCAGAAATAAGGGGAAAAAGAGGAATCAAGATAATGGGACCAGCTGATATAAGATGTAAAGGACATGACAGTAAGAAAGTTTTCAAAGGATACTTGTACATTTATCCTGGAAGGGCCACAGCAAATAATGGAATGGGATTCTTGATATATCCAGACACAGCAAAATGCATACTAGACATCAATAACTGTTAAGATAAAATAATAATATTGAAAATCAAGAGAAAAAAACAAACTGAAACATATATACAATTACTTGCCCCATGCAATGATAATTACACAGAAGAACAAATGGATGAGTTTTTAATGAACTATCTTAGGAGATAGAGAAAGTGGAAGGTAACAGTATGGTGTATGTAATGGGAGAGTTCAACAGTAGAGTGGATACTAACAGAAAAGAATATGAACAGTTCATTGGCCCACCTGAACAGTGAAAGGAACCCAGAATGGGCAAAGGATACTGGACTTATGCTGCCAACACCGTATCTTTATTATTACTACATTTTTGAACACCAAAACTCACGACACTATACCTGTTATAAATGGAATGACATCATCACTTAAACGCAGATTGATTACATATTAACAAGGGTAAAAAGAAAGAATATTCAACGCAAAAGCAATCTCCCATGGACTATATGACACCTATCATAAGATTGTAGAGCTAATAATAAGACACCACAGTTTTAATATTAACAGGAAAAAAACAAATAAAAACAAGGAATTAATTAAGATAGCAAAAGTTAAACGAGAAGTAATAGAACAATTACAACAAAACATGGAGACAGCATTTTGTCCATTATTACCAGTGTGGGAAATGTGAGGATAAATAGGTATACAGAACTACCTAGCTTAACACTGCAGAAGAACTATGTGGAAAAAGGCAGAATAGGACCAAACAAATTGCATGATGGTGGCATGGTGTGACAAAGTTAAAAAAGCAGTAAAGTTGAAAAAAAAAGTTATATAATTGTTGGATAAAATCAAGAAAAGATTATATAAATTATAGATTTCAGAGATACCAACAGGATAATCAAGAGGGCAAAACAAAAGTCCTGAGAGTGCTTAGGAAAACCATAGAGATCCGCCTTCAGAATATTTTTCAAAGTAGTAAAAAAAATGAAAAAAGAATTACAACCCCACAGAGATAATCAGATAAGAAGGGAAGGCAACTAACAGAACCATCAGAAATCACAGAAAGACAGGGATGGAGCTAGCCGAATCGACGATGGAAGCTGAATTTCTGCCTCCTCCAGACCATCGCAGAGAATGGATTTAAAAAATATAACCCCTATTTAGAGATTATGAAACACGAGTTATTTCCCTTGTTTTTCTCCTGAAGATTGGACTGTATTTCACTCAGAATTGGACACTTTTCAGAGGAGCTTTGAGCTTGGATGTGTTGTGGTTCGCCAGCAGCCAGTGCAGATGACAGAGGTATCTGACAGTGAGGACGAAAGGGAACCAGTCAGGGATTCTGGCAAGGACTTGGATGATGGTCCTGCATCCAATGCAGGGATGGGGCCAGGACCATCTGAGAGTGAGGTGCTGCTGCCTTCGGAGCTTTCGGAGTCTGGCAGCAGTGAAGCAGAGGACACCTGGGAGCCTGTTCCCAGTGTGCATGGTGCGCAGAGCTGCTAGAAGATGAGAGCAGCTGAAGCAGAAGGGGCGACTCAAGAGTAAGGCTGGGAGGTGATTGCCCCTCCCATAAGGGATAAAAGTCAGTCTTCAATGACAAAGAGCTTTGCAGGAAGCAAAGCAGTTCAGTAATCTCCAAGTCCTTTATGAAGCTCTGTATTCTGGTCGGTTTTTTCCAGGTTTTGGGGTTGGTTTATGTTAGCCTTAATTGGACTTCTGTTTCTTGGCAGCATTTGACAGCACTGAAAAGTATGCTCTTATCTGGAGGAACTGTGTATAATGAGATTTGGCTGGGAATGCAAGTAATTCCCAGCATCTCATTAAAAAAGGTTTTACTTTTAAATTCAGTTTGTGTTTTATTAAGTTTGATGAAGCCTGGGTCAGAACAGGATGTTTGGTTAAGAGACTTGAGAGGCTTTTGAAGGCGGATGGGAGAGGAAGGGCCCTATGATTGAAGACTGAGAAAGAAGTTGGAAAGAGTTAAAAGGATTACAGCTGAGAAAGTAATAGCTGATTTATAAGTGTATAGTGTGAAGGCCCATTACTCTCTTCTTTCAGTGGAAGTGTTGAGGTCTGGAGAAGGTGGAATAATTAAATATTTTTAATACAGAGCCTTGATAAGGTGTATGTAATAAAGTTAATTGTTGCCATTGGGATCTATTTAGTTTTATTGTGTTGCATTTACAGGTGGAGAAATAGATAACAGGCTGATAGCAGTTGAGCAAGACATGGGAAAGGGAATGATTGCCTGGGAGATGGACAGAGCTGATTTCTACCTCAGATTTCAAAACATTGAGGAAGAAAAGGGAGAAAATGTTGCAGAAATAATGATAGAAGTGTTGGCAGGACCTCTGGAGATATCAAAAGAAAAAACGATGGATGGAATTGATGAAGTGTTCCGAGTATTTACAAGATATACTATGAGAAACAAACTACCTAGAGAAGTCCATGTGAGATTTACTAAGAAAGCAATTAAAGCAGAAATACTACAGAAAGTAAGAGATGACCCATTGAAATATAAAGGAAAGGAGATTATAGTCTTAAAACAAGTATCAAGAAAAGTGAGAGATCTGAGAAGAGAGTATCAATTCTTGACAAAAATTTTAATTAAGAAGGTAGTGAATGATAGATGGATTATTCCAGAAGGTTTAATGTTTACTTGGCAAGAACAAAGACATAGATTGGATTCAATAGAGAAAGCAGAACTATTCTATAATGAATACTTTATAGAGGAAAAGAAGAAGAGAGAACAAGAGATGATGAAATAGTTAAATCTTGAGAGGAGATGGTCGAAGAAAGGGAAAAAGAAAAAAGAGATGAAAGGACACGAGAAGAAGGAGCAGTAGGTGGAAGGGTGGAACCAAAAGAAGCAAGAGAACAACAAAAACAATAAACCCTACATATAAAGTGTAAACCATGGAAGAAAAGAAATTGATTACAATAAATATAAATGGATTGAATTCGGCCATCAAAAGGAAAAAAGCATTTCATAAATTAGAAAAACTAAAATTTGATATAATCTGCTTGCAAGAAATTCATATTAAAAAGCAACATGTCCAAGTATTGGACTGTTCCAGAATTGCGAATTTATACACTTCATTGGCACAACAAAATAAAAGAGTAGTCCTATATATCAAGAATACAATAAAAGCCAAATTAATTTTTACAGATGATGAAGGAAGAATATTGATGGTGGAAATAATTGACAATAATTTAAAGATGCTTTTAATAGCAATATATGCACCAAATGAGAAGCAAGAAGAATTTTTTTAAAAATTGCATAAGAAAATAATAGAACTGGAATATGATAATATATGAATTCTTGGAGATTGCAAAGGTATAGCGGATATAGAATTGGACTACAAAACATAGAAAGTTAATAAAAAAATAGAAAGACATTGCCGAAATCCCTTTTCAAGGTGGTACAGGAATTAAGTATTTGGGACATTTGGAGAAAAATGAATGCTAAGAACAGACAATATACATTTTAATCTAACAGGCATTTATTATGGTCAAGAATAGGTAAGATTTGGATGTCAACTGAGCTAATCTTCAACATACAAGAAATAAATATTGAGACAAGTACTTGGGCAGACTATAATCCAATATGGGTCAAATGGCAGGGACAAAAGAAAAGATCAAGATGGACTTTGAATAATTCAATTTTGAAGGAAAAAGTATTTATACAAAATATGGAAAAAGAACTGCCTTTTTTCTTTAAAGAAAATAATAAAGAGGAAACTTCATTACAAAATATATGGGATACTATGAAGGCCTATATCAGAAGTTTGGTTATAACTTATATGAGAAGAAGGAATATTAAGAAACAACAGGCAGAACAAATATTAGAGGAGGACTACAAGAAACTGGAGAAAGAACTACAAAGACATCCACAAAAAAAGGACATTAAAAGTCAAATGGAAATAGTTAAGCACAAAATGGGGTTGATGGAAAAAGAAGAATTGGCACAAAAAATCAGGAGAGCTAAACGGAACTTTTTTGAAAATGCAAACAAACCAGGTAGATGGTTAGCATATAAATTGAAAAAGGAGAGAGAAATGAAAAGGATAATACGATTAATAGATGAACATGGAACGGTTTGTTATGGACATGAAGAAAAAAAGAAATAGTACAGAAGTACTATGAGAAATTATACAATCAAGAGAATATTGAAGAAGGAAAAGTTGAACAATATCTGCAAAAAGCAGAACTGCCCCAAATATCCAAGGAAACTAAGATAATGCTAGAAGGGAAAATAACAATGATGGAACTGACAGAGGCGATAAGTAGACAAAATATTGGAAAAGCACTGGGCCCAGATGGGCTACCAGAGGAACTTTATAAGACTTTGCAGGAATCTTTAAACACTACAATGCTTGAAATAATGAATGATGTTTTGACAAAAACTAAAGTACCTAATTCATGGACAGAGGCGTATATTACTCTTATACCGGAAGAAGATACTGATCTATAACAGATAAAGACCTAAATCCTTGCTGAATGCAGACTACAAAATATTTGCCTCAGTAATGGCAGAAAAACTTAAAAGATATTTGAACCATTTTATACATCCTGATCAAAATGGATTTTTGCCTAAGAGGCAAATAAAAGATAACACGAGAATAATTTTGAATAAATTGAAATACTATGAAGCACATCCAGAGAAGCCAATGGCCTTGGCGGTTTTAGATGTGCAAAAAGCTTTTGACAATGTAAATTGGCAATTTATGTTATTGCAAATGGAAGAGATGGATTTTGGAGAAGGATTTATTAAAACAATCGAGGCAATGTATTACAAACAATCTGCAAAAGTAATGATAAATGGAGATTTGACAGATAACATTAATATTAAAAAAGGAACTAGGCAAGGATGTCCTCTGTCGCCATTGTTATTTGTACTGGCTCTGGAAGTATTAAATAGAAATATTAGGAAAGATAAAGAAATAAAGGGAAAGAAAATAAAAAAGGAAGAATATAAACTGCAGGCATTTGCAGATGATCTGGTCTTTATATTAGAAGAACCATTGGAAACAGCTTCTAAATTGATAGAAAAGATAGAAGAATATGGACAGGTTGCAGGATTAAAAATAAATAAAGAAAAAAACTAAGATTTTAGTTAAGAATATAACAGAAAAACAAAGGAAAGTATTGATGGACAGATTGAATATCCAGATCACAAATAAAGTGAAATGTCTGGGAATACAATTGACAGCAAGATGTGGAACACTTAAGGAAGTTAATTATTACAAATTAAAGCAACAGATTGGGAAAAAATGGAAAAACACAACTATCTCTAATAGGGAGAATATCTACAATTAAGATGAATATACTACCAAGGATATTATATTTGTTTCAGACAATTCCAATAAAACTAGGGAAAGAATATTTTGACGATTTAAATAAAATGATGTTGAAATATATATGGCAGGGAAAGAAGACAAGAATTAAACTAAAATTATTACAAGATACTAGAATGAGAGGTGGTTTGGACTACTCAATTGGGAATTATATTATCAGGCAGTAATACTGATGTGGATGAAAGAATTGATTGTTTTGAGAAATACTAAACTGTTAACACTGGAAGGTCATGATTTACAATTGAGGTGCCATGCATTTTTGTGGTATAAGGAAAGTAAAGCGCATGGACATTTTTGGAGACATTATATTCGAGATGCCTTATTATCAACATGGGAGAAAATAAGGAAACATTATTTGAAAGTACCAATCTGATTATCAACAATAGAGGCATTTGCGTACCCAATTGTTTTTAAAATGGAACATATCGTTAGATATAGTGAAATTTTAAATGAAAAGGTTGAAGTCAAAACAAAGCAAGAACTAGATGAACAAGGAATAAATATGAATTGGTATTCATATGTGCAAATACATTCTAGATATGAAAAAGACAGTAAGAACTTACTGAATTAGATAAAATCCTAACAGGTACTGAAGAGAGGATGATTAAAAAAATTTATGGTTACTTACTAGGGGTGAAATTAGAAGAACAAGTTAAAGAAATGATGATTGCATGGGGGAAATTTTTTGGATATGGGATAGATTTGGAAAAATGGCAGAAATTATGGACTAGAAACTAAAAATTAACAATGTCAACAGCTTATGAAGAGAATTTGTATAAGATGTTTTACAGGTGACATTTATCCCCTGCAAGAATAGCAAAGATGTTTAAGGATAAATCAGCAAAATGTTGGAAATGTCATCAGATACTTGGATTATATTAACATATGTGTGGATATGTGTGGAAGCTAAAAGGTATTGGACACACATGGTTGGAAAAAATGACAAAACAGCATATAAATTTAAAACCAGATATATTTTTATTGGGGATTTTACCTGAAGGTTACAATAAAGAAATAACATATCTGATTATTAATGTTTAACAGCAGCCAGAATTGTATTTGCTCAAAATTGGAAAAATGAAAAAATTCCAATGGAGGACAAAGTGATTAAGAAAATAATGGAATGTGCAGAAATGAGTAGGTTAACATTAGCAATTAGAGAGCAAGAAAAAAAGGAGTCTTATAAGATTTGGGATATATTTTATCAATGGTTAGATAGAAAAATGAGAAATTGAAGTATAACATAATAGTAATGAGATATTATAACCTATTATTTCTGAATAAGTTATATCATGAATAAAATTTAGTAAGAATTGAGATTTGCTCTTAAAGATAATTTGGAATTGAAATTTTAATTTCAATGATAATATAACAATGATATAATATGATATGGAAAGCTGATTAATACAATATGAAAGTAAAGTTAAGAGGAAAAGATTATAGATATTGTGCACAGAATATATATACCAAACTGACACACTATACAATTGAAAGAAGGTTTTATTTGTTGTTTTGTATGTTTGTTATAAAAAATAAAAAACTTTTTAATAAAAAAAAGAAATAATTCAAATCATGGAGAAAAGCAGCATCAGATGATTTCATAGAGTCTTTAACGCAGCATGGACATAATTAATACACTTCCTGCTTGGCAACAAGCAAATAACACCACTGTTGAAAAACAAAGGGAACAAATGAGAATGCACACACTACTGAGGCATCTCACTCTTGAGCCACTAGAACAGCAGTCTCCAACCTTTCTGGTTTTGGAGTGGTGGCGGTGGGAAGGGTTGGTTTCGTTTACACATGTGCCACTTGCGCAAATGGAGCTTCGAGGGCTTGCGCGCTGTTTGTGTTGCTTGGTTCTCAATGGGTCGTGGAACAGTCTAAGGCTGTGGCCTGGAGGTTGAGGATCTCTGATTTAGGGAAAATGTACACCAAGATAACAAAAATGAGATTAACACCAACTATAGAACTGCAACTAGTAGAAGAGCAGATGAGCTTGGGAAGAAATAGAAGCTGCATAGATGGAATGCTTGTGCTTGAACAATTAATAGAAAAGAATAAAATAAGAAATCTCTTTGTTACATTTGTAGACCAAGAGAAAGAATTTGATAAAACTGACAGGAAACTGCTATGGTGAACATTGACCCAATATGGGTTAAAGTAAGCAAAAGTTTATACTGGAATTGAAGAAGTGTAGTTAAAACAAATCAAGAAACAATGGACCTCTTAACAGAAATGGCTGGAATAAAACAGGGATATGTACTATTACTGCTATTGTTTATCACCTATATTGACAGCATAAGCAAAGAATCCAAACCCAAGAATGGTCTTTGCTTAAATAGTTTATCATTGGTTGTTTCATGTTGGGTTCTTTTTTAGTTGATTCCTGGAAATGTGTAAAAGCTGATTTCATACAGAATCATCAAACAAATGAATGTGCTCCACATCCTCATAATGTTGCTGGAATCTGTGAAGTTTGAGAAATGAAGCCAATAAAACGCTGATTTGCCTCTTACTCCAAGAGATAAGCTGTGCAAAGAGTTGTGGGACATGAAATATGGGAAGTCACATTTTATCTCACTTCCTGAAATCTGTAGTTTTCCCTTCCTCTTAAATAATGGAGCAACATTAAGCTCCAGAGTGATGCTTCTACTCTGTGAGCTGCTATATGATATGTCCAGTGAGGCAATGAGGGAAGAAAAGGAAGGTGGCATGGCACTGGATAACTGTTCCTTGAGCATTCCCACATGGGCCAGCTCAAAAAAGAGATGACTAGTTCAAGGAAGGAGAGACAAAGGTCTTGGATAGCATTAAGAATATGTTTTTTTATAAAGAAAACTGGGAAACAAAGCTGGAAGCCTGGTACAAAATAGCATTAATATAAAATGATAAAAGAGAACTTACTGTACAATTAATGCATCATTCTGAATAATATTTATGCATATGAAGCATTTACAAGCAGATCCTTTTCTTAATGCTGTATGTTTTAATTTCTTATTAGAATAAAACTACTGCACTGCAACAATTTTATTATTATCAATATTAACCCTGTTCAACTGGGTCACACAGTTAAATAAATATGCTTGCTTTCATTTTGGTATTATTCCTGCCTAGTAAAAATGCATTTTACAATAAACTATGCTACCATTTTTCTGCATCTGTAATGCATATGTCTATCTTTGCCTTTCCAAATAAAAATAACTAGGCAAGTGGTACTATAGATGCACTTTTCTTGCAAATGTTATGAAATATTCACAAGCTGTAAAGGAGAAGGACGTTTTATATTACCTCATAAATGTTGAATTGCTCTATTAAATCCAAATCTGATCCTTTCTTGTTCAGATGCTTCCGGGAAATTTTTTCCATCCCCAGCTCTTCTAGACAGTCAATAACATCATAAAAAGAATCTTGATCTGGCAAGCCAGATAATGTCTGAAAGTAAAAATGGAATTATTTCAATTTTTGTTTTGAACAGAATATCAAGTACAACTAAAGTGTCTATGAAGTCCTATGCATTGCTTGATATATGCCACCGATGTCTTTTGGGATAACTTTGGAGAATGGAAAGTTAATGGGATGATATAAATCACAGGAACAAAGGCAGAGTTGGGCTGCTGCTGGTTCACACCGGTTCGGGTGTACCATTTGTTAAGATTCTGCGCAATTTGGCGAACTGGCAAATCCCACCACTGGCTGGCCCTGCACACCCTGCCCTGTCCTATCTTGCCTTGCCCACCTTGGCCAGTGGCTAGAATAGTAGCTATTCTCTGGTTCCTTTGCTTGCCCAGACCATGTGGCCCAGCTGATTTCCACGCCTCACCTGCTCACCATGGCTGCCCACAAAGGTAAGGCACTCAACCAAAGGCCTGCCTCAGGGTGGACACGGCGAGGCTCGGTTGCCTTTCTGGCCTGGCTCTTGCTATCCTTCCGTCAGCATGCTGCACGCTCTCCGTTTGCCTCGGGTCGGAGGACGTGCCTGGCTGTGGCCTTCCCTGGAGCCTCCACCTGCATGCCACCTGCCCAGCCCAGAGCGGGTCCCGAAAGGCAGCTGAGCCTCGCCATGTCCCTCCCCACCGAGAATCCTGCAGCTGCCAACTCTTTGCCAGTGTGAAAAGCCTGCAGCCATATGTCTTTGCTGGTGCAAGAAGCCTGCAACCACATGTCTTTGCTGGAGTAAGAATCCTCCAGCCATCACTCCAGTTTTGGTTCCAGTTGGCAAAGAGGCTGCTGCTGCAAGCCCTTTGTGCCAGCAAAAAATGGCAGCTACAGACTTCTCGTGCTGTAAAAGACCAGTGGCTGCAGGCTTCTAGGTCTGAAAAAGACAGGCGGCTGCAGGCTTCTCGCACTGAAAAAGAGTGGTGCGGCTGCAGGCCAGTGTTCAGAGCAGGGTTGTGTGCCCAGCTGCACCAACAAAGGCCGGAGGTAGCTGCCTGCTATTTCCTGCTGCAAAACCCTTTTTAAAAAAACCCTGACTGTTGGGCAGCAAGACCCAGCAAGAGATGAGGCATCAGAGAATCACCGTTGCTGCACAAAGATAAGTCAAAAGCTCTGGCCACCGCCACTTCAGCCCACCTGCACCACCCCACTTTGCCGTGAGTGACATCAAATTGGCCATGCCCACTCAGTCACATGACCTCCCCCAGCTGCGCCCAGCCGGTCTTTAGGACGAACCAGATGTTAAATTAGTTGGAGCCCACCACTGAACAAAGGCCTATAAGGAAAAGTTATTTCAACATGTAAGAAACTGAATATATAATTGAAGTCAGCCTTTTTTTTAGATTAGATTGACAATCAGATTATAACTTTGTTTTTATATATGACAACAGCAGCAGACTTCTCTATGTACAGAGATGGGAAAAAATCACATATACCCACAATGGAAAAATCAATGGGGAAATTAATGGAATATGAGGATAAGGCAAAATTGACTATTGTGATGACTATTATTTATTTAATTTGGTTTCCATTTGAAAACCACTCTTGCTTTTTTAATTTGAAACTAAAAAAATGAAATTTTAACTTTGAGGTTTGATAGTGGTGATAGAAGTATTGTAGTTCAAAGGTCATTGGTTTTTTTATTTTATCCTATCAAAAAAAGTTAGAAGTCATATCTTTCTAATGCTTTTTTCTTTTTTGTTTGCAGGCTTCAATTTTGCTTTTTCCTTATCCCTTTCTCTTTTTACCTTTCTTCTTCACCATCACCAACTAAAAAACTGGCGGTTGTGATTTTTCATTATTATGTATATAAAAATAATAAAATAATGAATAAAAATGATTAATTATATAACTATGTGTGTTATAATAATATCATAATTTAATAATATTATATTGTATATAATAATATAACCCAGTTTAAACATCTGGCTAACAGTATGACCAACCCTAATAATTATATAAGAAATATATAAAACTAATGCTACACAGAATTATATAATAATAACAAAGGCCACTATGCTTAGATCCATGTATATAAAGGCACCACCTTCACATGTTGTGGGACTTGCATGCTCTGAGGAAAGTGAGAGCTATACCAGTAAATCAACTGCAATGTCAGCCCGGGATCCATCTTGAATCAGATTGGAGGCTGCCACAAGCGAGTATGGGTAACTATGGGAAAGAGAGTGAAATGAGAAGGGAGGATAGCCACAACAACATTCTTTTGCCAGAGCTCAAGGTCAAGGTGCTGGAGTTTGGAGGGGAGTGACTGAACTTGGTGGGAGTTCAGAATGAGGTGGTTTGGAGAGTGTAACTTGAGGATCATCAGTAAGGGGCTGAGTGTAAGTTTTAGTGTAGCAGGGGAAAACGCGGGGATTTAGATTTAGGGTTTCCCCAGATATGCCAATATGACTTCTCTAATAAATTCTTACTTGGATGGACTTTGTCTCTGAGTGTTGAATTTGGGATGGAAAGTTTGGTTGGAATGCTGACACATAATGGACAAGTCTCAAGAGAAAAGCTAAAAAAATGTTTTTCCCAATCAAACCATGAGTGATGGGAAGAAAAGAAGACACAGATACAAACTAGGAGATATAGGAACATGCCCAGAATCAGCCATAAAGGACTTAAATGCCTATACGCTAACACTCAAAGTTTAGGGGACAAACAAGGTGAACTTGAAATACTAGTACACAAAGGCAGGTATGATATAATTGCTATTACAGAATATTGGTGGGATGAAATTCATGACTGGGATGAAAGACTTCAAACTAATCAAAAGAAATATACGGAGGTGGAGTTGCATTATAAGTAAGAGATCAATCGCTACATCTATACAGAAATGTGCAAAACCAAGGATTAAAACCTCCTAGAATGCATATGGTCAATATAAAAGAAAAAAAAAAGACATTGCCACCCAACTAAGCAGAAGAAATAGATGAACGTTTTGCAAACCAATTCAACACACACACATACACAGGAAACATACCACAGAAGTAACAGGAGACTTTGTCCTGATATCAACTGGGAGACAAACTGCATCAAGTGGGAGATTGAACAGGTTCCTACCAATCTAGCTGATAACTTTGTCTTCTAAAAGGTGGAGAAGGGAAATAGAGGAAAAGCTATATTGGATCCAATTCTCACTAAAAGAGAAAGAGTGATAGAGGGAACTGAAGTTGCCAAAACTTTGGAGAAGAGTGACCATGTCAGATTGAAATTCAATATAATGAAATCAAAAGCAATAAAACAAAAGCAAATCAGTGTCTTAAACTTTAAAAGAACTATTATTATTAAGTGCTGTACCTTATGATTCTTGACTCTTGACGAGTGTATCTTTTCTTTTATGTACACTGAAAGCACTTGTACCAAGACAAATTCCTTGTGTGTCCGATCACACTTGGCCAATAAAGAATTCTATTCTACTCTATATTCTAACGGATTTCAACAACCTCAGAGAGAGCTTGGGAAAGGTTCCAGGATGAAAATCTTAAAGAGGAAAACAACTCAAGAAGCTTGGGTAATTCTGAAAAACTTGATTATAAAAGCCCAGAACAATACCATTGAAAAAGAAAAAACCCATGAAGAAACCAGCATGGCTGCACAAAAAATTTCCCTAAACTGAAAAGGATACATACAAAAAATGGAAAGAGGGACACATGACTAAGGCAGAGTACCAACAAATAGCTGGAAATTGCAAAGATGAAGTCAGGAAAGCTAAGGCTCAGAATGAAATAAGATTTGCAACAAATATGACTTCAGACTTAACAACTGGATGTCACAGAACCTGGAGACAGCTGACTAGAAGAGAAAAAACTGGAGAAAATAACAAAACAAAAGACCTGCATATGAAATTAGAACGATTGTGGTAAAAGAAAGCAAAGCGACAGGCACCTTGGGTATAATCTCAAAACAACTGGAGCATCACTTGAACATCATTATCATTGATGAAATCATCATTATCCACTATTTGCAAAAATCAGGTTTATTTGGAACAGCTTACATCCTGCAATAATATCTTTAACACCATCAAACATCAATATCTACCTATTCCAGGTCTTGGGAAGGACTTGATAGGAGAATAAAAATGCCAAATCCTGTCTAAATATTTGACTGATTGGGTCATGAACCATAATACTAACTAATAACACAAGGCCACACTCTGGATCTGCACATACACTACACCAATATATCACCACACCTTAGTTTTTTAAGAAGAAATCAATGTGAATTAATGCCAACATCTGGCAGTTAATAACAATAGGTCCAAGACCTTAGAAAAGATAGACTGATAGATTAAAATACTGTGGGATTTCTGAATACAAACTGATATAGTCTTGGTGAGCAATACATCCAATTTAACTATGGTTGAAAATTGTGGATATTTGTGTGGCTGTATTACATGATAATAGAACAGAAGACAAAGAATTGGAGTGGGTCATATTGTACCAAGATCTAAAATTCAAAACTGAAAGAATTTGATTACAATGGTGGTGATGGTGATGGGCATATTGGATGCCATATCCAAAAGCCTTAGCAAATCTATTCAATACTTAGCAAATCTATTCATTGACAAAATTTCCATCTGTCACACTGCTTAGATTAAATATATTATATTATGACATCCAAGGTTTCTATGAAACTTTGGTGCAAATGAAGGCCACATCAGCTAAATAATTGGTAGCTGCAATTTCATGTAGTTGTGTACCTCAAAACAAGTGGAGCACTATTTGAACACCATCATCACTGAGAAAATCACCATCAGTTAATTGCAAAACACAGCTTTACTTGGAACAGCATACAAACCATGATCATTTTAACACCATCAAACAAGGACACCTGCATATTCCAGCTCCCTGAATAAATGTCAAATCCAGTCTAAATATCTAGCTGAATGTGCATCTAATTAAAAAAAATAGCAAAGACCTGCAAATAGAAGTTGAATGAATGTGGTAAAATAAAGCAAACATATTACCAATGATCACAGGTGTCAAAACTCTAAAGTTACTTGAACATGATTAGCATTGACAAAATCACTATAAATCAATTGCAAAAAAGCAGTTTTACATGGAAAAGCTTATATTTTGCGACTCTTATCAAATAACATCTGCCTAGCCCAATTCATAAGGAAGTACTAAATAGGTGGATAAAAATGCCAAATCTACTCTACACATATGACTAATTAATTAACCATAATAAAAAGTATTTAATTTTAGCAGAATAAGAACTGGAAGGAACCTTGCAGGTCTTCTAGACCAACCCCCTGCTCAGGCATGAACCCCTATAGTAGTGTTGGCGAACCTTTTTGGCACTGAGTGCCGAAATGGGAGTGTGCAGGTGGGAAAGCATAGGAAACTTGAAGAGCAACTCCCTGCCAGCCCTCACCTGTTGCTCTTCCGGGTTCCAGCACACGCATGTGCACCGGCCAGCTGGTTTTTACACGTGCAGGCGTGCTGAAAACCAGAAGAACAGCTCCCCGGCATGCATGCATGTGCTGGAAACCAGAAGCTCAACTTCCCGGCGTTCACATGCACGCCAGGGAGCTGCTGTTCCAATTTTCAGTGCTCTCATGCACTCGAAGACCAGCTGTCTGGCAGGTAGGTGCATGCCAGAATCCCAGAAGAGAAACAGGTGATGGCTGGCATGCCCAGAGAGATGGCTCTGTGTGCCACTTCCAGCACGCGTGCCATAGGTTCGCCATCACGACCCTATAGCATTGCAGACAAATGGTTGTCCAATCTCTTCTTTAAAACCTCCAGTGTTGGACCACCCCAACTTCTAGAGGCAAACTGGTCCACTGATTAATTGTTCTGCCAGAAAGTATTTGTATTACAATACAACAATAATAATAAATAAAGATTTTTCAGAAAAGGTGTGTTTCTTCTTTCTATTATGATAGAACCAAATTCTTCCATAACAGTGTTGATGGATTTAAGATGTGAAAGTTGAAATCAATCAAAACAGACAAGTTATTTATTTCAGGGACAGCAAAAAAGCACTAATTTTTAATGATCTGACTCTGAAATTAAAATATTATGAGAAAAACAAAATAAAAAGTAATATGCAAATTATATAAAGCAGAGGAATTCAGAGTTAGAAAAAGTGTTTTAAACTTGAGACTTAATTACAGCAGATGTCTTCAAACTTGGCAACTTTAAGATTTGTTGATTTCACTTCCCATAATTTCTCAATCAGCCATGTTGGCTGGGGAATTCTGGGAGTTGAAATCCATGCCAAGTTTGAAAACCCCTGAACTAGAGTGAGAAGTGGGCTTAAAGATGACTCAGGTTCTCAAATTACTTTTGTGGGATCAAGAAAGGAGAACAGGGTTTAGGAAAAATGGAATTTAATGTAAAATTTAGGAACTGAGATAAAATAAGAAAAGGAATCCTAAAAGGAATCCGAAGCAAAAACTTTGAGGTAGTGAAAAGTACTCCCCAACTTGTGGGCCGTATCCCCCCAATTTGTGCTAGCATCACGAGTGTCATGTGGGCACTTGTGGTGCTGTTCACACAAGCATATGCATGCGTAAAGGCGCCCTGCCCCTCCTCCCTCCGGGCTGCAAACCCAGAAAAGTTGAGGAACTCTGCTCTACAAGGATACTTGTGTTTCATTGTGCGTCTAGATATGCCAGTTACAGCTGCTGGTGGAATGTCAAGAAAGTTAGATCATGGCCACTCCATCTCAAAGTTTATCATTGCTTCATCTATTGTGAGTTTTTTTTGCTATGCCTTCAAGTCAATATTGACTCCTGGCTATTGCCTGGACAACTCCCTGCAGTTTCTGTGGCAAGAGTTTGGAAGTGGTTTGCCACTGCCTTCTTCCTAGGACTGACAGAGTAACTTGCAAAAGGCCAACCAGCTGGCTTTATGCCTAAGGCTGAACTAGAACTCCCAGTCTCCTGGGTTATAGCCTAATCCTTAACTATTACAGCAAATTGGTTCTTTGTAATACTGAGTGAAAGTAGTATACAGGTAGTCCTCAATTTATGATCAGTCACTTACTGTTTGAAATTATGATGGGACTAGTTCAGATGCTTTATGATCCAGGCCATTGTAAAATATTGTGTCATCCCATCCTCTAAGGTTACATGACTAAATTTCAGATGCTTGGCACTTGGCTTGCCTATACAACTATTTGTAGCATCCTGTGGTCATTTGATTGCAATTTGCAATATATTTTGCTGGTTAACAATTCTTGACTCTTTGTGGATCATATCATATAATACATAGTCTGAAACAACCTTGATGTATTATCAAAGGATTATCAAAGATTATCAAAGGAAGAAAGCATTAAAAATCCATTTCAATATTAATATCTCTGTTGACTTTAAAATAACTTTCTAATTATAACTTAACATAGAAAACTCTGAATATATTTGAATACATGTATGTCAAATTAAAACAAACCTTATTTATTAAAGTCATTGCATAAACTAGTAACTCTGTATCAAGTCCATCCTTTTCCTCCAAAATCTCCATGACACTGGACCATGGCTTGAGACCTGAACAAAGAAATATTAATATTATAAAGAAGAATTTCGTTTGCCCGTATTAGCTATTTAAAAAAAAGATTAATATTTAAAAATAATGGATCATTGATGGGGGAGGGGAGGGCTTCTACCCTCCTCACTGAGCCCATAAGACTGGAAATGGGCAAGCACAAGGTGCCAAAAAGATAGAAACAGTGATCCTGGGCCTATCCTGGTTTGATAAATGGTCCTCCACCATCACATGGGAGGTGGCTACAGAAACTAAGTCTGGAGATAGGCCCTGAACCTGCTCAGTCGGATGCTGGAGGAGAGATGGCCCAGTGAAGCAGCGGCACTGGGTGAAGAGAGAAGGGCACTGCTGCTTCACAGCAGCCCCCAGCCAAACCTCAGATTTTTAGAGAGTACCGGGACCTGGTTGAAATATTCAGTGAGGAGGAATACAACGGGCTACCCCATCACCACCCCAAAGATTGGGCCATAGAGTTTGTATCAGGCGCTAAACTACCCAGCCAAAGATGTACTCCATGACCCTGAAAGAGATGAAAGAGCTAAGAAAGTACATCGAGACTAACCTAGCCCATGGGTTTATCCAGCTGGCTAAGTCTAGAGTAGCCACCCCAGTCCTCTTTAAGGAGAAAAAAGACAGGTCAATGAAGCTTTGTGTGGATTTTAGAGGAATAAACGTATGCATGGAGAACACCTACCCACTTCCCCTCATGAAAGACATGCTGACCCACCTGGCCAAGGGGAAAGTGTTCACCAAACTAGACCTGTGGGAGGCGTACTACCAGGTACGAATCAAAGAAGGGATGAGTGGAAAACACCTTTTAACTGCCCCTTAGGGAGCTTCCAATTCAAAGTAATGCCCTTTGGGCTGCAAGGTGCTCTGGCAGTATTCATGCAACTGATAAACGAGGTGCTACATGAGCACTTGTATAAAGGAGTCCTTGTATACCTAGATGACATTGTTATCTTCACAGAGACCCTAGAACAACATGTGAAGTTAGTGCAGCAAGTATTGGAGAAACTCCTTGTGGCGAAATTATATACAATGTTGTCGAAGTGTGAGTTCCACAAGACCAGTCTGGATTACTTGGGCTACCAAGTATGAGCAAGGGCATAGAGATGGACCAGGCTAAAGTAAAAGCCATTTTACACTGGCAACCCCCACATACGTGAAAACAGCTTCCTGGGGTTCATGAACTTCTACTGGCAGTTTATCCCCTCGTTTGCTGAGATCCTGCCCATCACCGAACTGTTAAAAACTGGGGAAGACCTCAACAACTACAACCGAGTCAGCCCCTACAGTGGACCCTGGTATGTCAGCAGGCTTTTGAGTTATTGAAGAGGCTGTTCACTAAGGAGCCAATCCTCAACACCCTTTTGTAATCCAAGCCAATGCCAGCAATGTGGCCGTCACAACCATTCCCCTCCAAAAAATGTAGAAAGCAACTTACAGTCCTGTACTTATACCCCCTCAAAAAAATGACTGAAACTGAGCAGAGGTGAGCGGTGTAGGAGAAAGAAGCCTAAGCAATCAGGTGGGCCCTGCTAACCTGGAGCCACTTCCTTGAGGGCAGTGGTGTGCTGTTTGAGGTATGGACTGATCACAAGAATTTAGAGGCACTAAACCACCTCCTGCAAGCTCTTCCCAAAGCAGGTCCGTTGGGCACAATATTTCAAATGATTCAACTTTGAACTGAAGCACATCCCAGGAAAGAAGAACATCCTGGTGGATGCTTTGTCACATAAACCATGGTACCACAGCAAGCGTGAAGAGGTGGTTCATAAAATGATCCCCTCTCCCAAACTACCTTACAGGCCATAACTAGAGGTCAGGCCAGCCGACCCATGGTTCCGACACAACCCGTGAATACTAACTCTCAAAGATGGACTAGCCTGGAAAGGATCCAAATTGTATGTACCCAGCAGCTTACGGCTCTGCGTTCTCCAAAAGAATCATGACTTGAAGCAAGTGGAGCATTTCGCCTACCTGAAAACCCTGCATCTGGCCAGAAGGCAGTTCTGGTAGCCAAACATGAAAAAGGATATTGAGGATTATGTTAAGAGTTGCGCCACCTGTGCCGCCATGAAGAAGAGACCAGGGAGACCCCCTGGACTGCTCCAGCAGGTAGCCGACCCGTCCCAACCCTGGGAGGAAATAGCCATGGATTTAATTGTTGAACTCCCTGCGAGTGGAGGGAGTACTGTCATCTGGTCCGTCATCAACTTGTTTTCCAAACAAGCCCATTTCATAGCTTGCCCAGGGCTCCTGTCAGTGTGGAAGTTGGCTAACCTGTTTATAAAGTGTATCTACAGGTTGCATGGTGTCCCTCGTAGGATTATCTCCAATGGGGGGTCCAATTCACTGCTAAGTTCTGGAGGGAGTTCATGAGGTCCATTGGGTCTCACAAGGGCTGAGTTTGGTATTCCATTCGAGTACTAATGGGGCCACGAAACAAGCCAATGCCATGGTGGAACAATATTGGAGATTCTATGTCAACTACCAGCAAACAGACTGGGCAGAGCTGTTGCCATTTGCTGAGATGGCATACAACAATACAGTGCACAGTAGCATAGGGCTGACCCCATTTCAAGTCACTAGCAGCATGGAGTTTATCCCTATGCCTGAGCTCCCCCAGGAGCCCCGCTCCTTCATGTTGCTAGCAGAGTGGATGGAGTCATTGAAAAAAGCCTGGGAAAATACCAAATAAGCCCTATGGGAGGCAGTGGAAGCATATAAGACCCAAGCTGACAAGCACTGTTGTCCCCAACTGCAGTTTAAGGTCTACTTGTTCACAAAATATCTGAAAGAAGATCGGTCTGAAGTTCAGAGGGCCTTTCCCTAACAGTGAAAGTTATTAACCCGGTCACTTGCAACTTAAGCTCCCTCAATTGTTAGAGAAAGTGCATCTGCTCTTCTACAGCAGTTTATTAAAACCTGTTGTGGGCTCTCAATTCAGGCCAATAGGTAGGATATCACCCAAGCCAATAGTGGTTGAAGGCCAAATACCGTCAAGCCCAAAATTGACATAAGTGTAGTTATTTTAGTTAATCTTAGTATATATTCTTTTTCTTACTTTCTCTGTGGTAGTCATGGGGGGAAGGGTTTCGAGCTTGACACATTCCTAAGGAGGGAGGAGTGGAGATAAAGAGAGTGTTTTGGCTAGGTGATCTTTCTTCTCATGGGAAACAAGCTGTCCATGGTTGGGCCCCTTGAGGTGGAGATTTATGATATCAAGCAACACTGATTTACTTCTACTAAAGAATGTGACTTTTGGGGGTTGTTTCTAGCTTGTAATATTGTGGGGTAATTCCGGGTTGTGCCAGATCCAGAATTACCATGGACTTTGCCAATTTGATGCTGTCCTAAATAAAAGAAATATTTTTGGAAGATGGACTTTGTACTTTTCTTTTTAAATGGATTTAATCACTTGGAAACCTGACAAACACATTACGAGGTAAAGAAAATCCTAGATTCGAGAGAACACAAGGGTCAGTTGAAATATCTAGTGCACTGGAAGGATACCCCCTTGCTGAAGCCACCTGGGTGAAGAGTTGGAAGGTGAGAGCAGATAGGTTAGTGAAGCAATTTCATGATATGTACCCCCAAAAGCCAAAAGGTCCTCCCGGGGGAGGGAGAGGATGGTTAGGAGTGCTCGATTAACTTCACTGTGCTCTGTCTCTCTTTTGTGGGAGGGTTCCTTCAATTGGGAGGGGCAGCCTGTCAGGCCAGAAACCGACCTGGCTATGGCCATTTAGTTTCTGTGGGGTTTCTTTCTCAGGATTTCAGGCTGACACAGCTTAGAGCTGGAGAGGAGAGTAAGATGGGCATTGATATCAAATAGCATGGCTTTCTGGTATGTCATAGGCATTTCAACGGCTGGCTGGGTAGAAAAGGAGGAGAGAGGTAACCAAGCAACCAGCCAGCTTCCAGATTGGGTAATGTGATTTATTGTTTTGAGAAAAGGGGAAATGTTTCCTCTTAAGGTTGTGGAAAGCACGGGAAGTTTTAGAACTGGCTTTCCACTGGATTGTGCCAAGATGATATCTCTAAATAAAGCTGTTCTTTGAAGAATTACCCTGCCTTGGAGTTCTGTTTTGAAATGGATGTATTATTTGGAACCCTGACAAAAGGTGGGAAACAAATAAGTAAATAAGTAAATAAATGAATGGGTATTTAAATACTCTTGCAGAGTTAGAAATCCTACTGAAACTGTGAAATTAAACAAGTTTGGAGTGTAGATGGATGCCAAATTTCTTATATAATGAATTAATTCAAACAAATTCTAACCAGTTCTATGTAGAATCTGAAAAACAGTATTACAACTGCCTTCTCATACTAATCTTAGAGCTATCTGGCAATCTTTTAATCATTCTAGGACATCAATTCACTGTTGTTTAGAATATGCCAAAATAATCCCTTTTGCAGAACATTCATTGCAATTGTCTCAAGAGAGATCCAACCAATGGTGTTGTATAATATACATGTACTGGAGACTATGACTAATCTTTTGGTTTAACAAAATATTCACATATTTTTGCATCCCTCTCAATCTATCCTCCCCCCATTTTAATAATTCCTTTTAATAATTTTTCTCTAAAAACAAATACATTCTATAAACATCTGGTTTTGGATTCAAATGTTAATGAATAGTTTAGGAAAGAATATTAAGAGTGTTGATTAGTTTTGGGCTTTTCTCCCCTTTTTGTATCCAAAGAAAAATATCAAATGACCCCCACACTATTTTTGTAGTGTAAATATCTTTTAACAAATAGAATAATTCACAATTAGTTCCCCTTAGAAGCATAATATGACTCACCCCTTTTTGCATCGACAGTAGCCACTGCTTCAATAAGAAGGGATGAATTGGATTCCGTATACTCCACAAAAACAAGAAACAATTTCAGTGCTGTCTTTACAACCAGGCGAAACTGCAAGGGAAGAACAGCTATTCATAAATCAAACTGTAAAATTTGCAGAATGGTTGTTTTCTTTTACTGCAATGCAGGCTAATCCTATGTGGAAATAAATCAGTGCAGTAGCAGCATCGCTATTCCTAAGTAACTGATTGAACAAAAATATGCTTCATCTTCTAAATTAAATGTCAAAGTAGAACAAAAAGCAAATCCATAAAACATGTATAAATAGTTAGTCTAGCCTAGTTCGTTACTCTTTTAAATCACTCTTTAGGTGCTATCTAAACACCTTTAATTACTGATGCCATAATTTATACAAGATACTGTTAAAGCATATGGTCTAAAAGCTAATTCTATTTTCTGTGTGGTTGTAAGTCTAATCATCTTTTATTTTCTTGTTCAAATTCAGAAACTATTGGATTGTGTAACCTTCACTTTCATTTTTTTTAATGCTCAGTTATCATTAACATATAAAATTTGCTGAAAAACTCTACTCACCTTGTATTTTCTATTTTTGAATTTATCTTTTAACTTTTTAATATATTTTTCCTCTTTAATTGTGAGCATAGAACATGTTCAGAAAGAAGCAAATTAAGTGTAGGAAGTATGAATTTCTCAGGCTAAGAAGGGGAATTAATGTGGAAAAGTAAATTTAAGTATCAAGATCCAAATCATGTTAGCAACATAAAGATATGCAATGTTATGCAAAGCATGGTTTCAAGTAGCTAAGAAATTTGGAAAATCCTAAAACAGCATAGTCACTGCTTGTTTTTGAGCAGATATGGCTCAGAACTATGTTTAAAAAGAAAAACGGTAGTAAAAATATCCCAAAAAAACATTCTTACCTTAGACCCAATGAGTATGTACAACCACTGGATGGTTTCATTGTGATTTATTAGTCCATTCATCCCATCAACATACAGCATAATTTGTCCCAGTGCTAAGGAAATAAAGATTATATTTTTAAATTGTTTTATTAAACAATTTGCTATTACAAGCTAAAACCATACAATTATCAAATGTAAACTGAAAGGAGTCACTGAGTTGATCAAGAGCCAAACTTTGATCAGACTGAAACGGAAGTTTTTCACAATCTAAATATAATTTCTTATTGGCATATAGTAGCCCTTGACTTACAACCATTCATTTAGTGACCATTTGAACTTTCAGTGGCACTGGAAAAAGTGATTTATGATTATTTTTCACACCAACAACCACTGTAGCATGACCATGGTCACCTGATCAAAACTTGGACACAGTAAGTGGCATGTATTTATAACTGTTACAGTGTCCTGGGGTTATGTGATTAATTTTTGTAAACTTGTGGCAAAGTAGAAGTCAGATTCACTTAATAACCATGTTAACTAACAAGAACTGCAGTGATTCATTTAACAATGATAGTTCATAAAATGAGAAAATTAACTTAACAACTATTTTGCTTAGTAATGGAAATTTTGGGCTCTATTTTGGTCGTAAGTTAAGGACTACCATAAAACTATTGTTATAATAAGGTATAACGGGAGATCTCCAGAAAATGGCACATTGAGTGACTGGACCATTTTTTTCTCCTGCTGACCAACAGTTGACTTTGCGACCAAAACTAGTCCTTTGGCATGAAAACCCAGATTTTAAAAGAAGTAACTAGGAATGACTAAGATGACCCTTCGACAATTGTGGACTTGCCTGGTTAAAGAAATCTAGTTGATTACAATTTTCTCCATCTTTTCCTGTCACTGTTTGCTTTTTGAAAGTGTGCCTTGGTTTTAAATATCATGTTTTGAACTTTTTTTTGCTTTTGATTTACATGTTTAATTAACTGTCTGGCTCAGGGGTGTCAAATACAAAATCTGCGAGCCACATCTGGCCCTTGGGGCCGTCCTGGAAAATGTAAGGGGCTGGCACACGTTGCTTTGACCCAGTCTAGCCACATTGCTTCAGCCTGGTCTATCCGTGTTGCTTCGGCCCGGTCTACCCAATGCGAAGATGAAACATGCCAGCAGTTTGGGAGTGGTATCAAGCTGGCCACACCCACCCAGTCAGCCATGCCCACCTGGCCCCCCAAGGTCAACCATAGCCCTGATGTGGCCCTCAATGAAACTGAGTTTCACACCTCTAGTCTAGTTGAATGCTGATTTATTTTATACCCTTGCTAGAATAAATATGAACTTTTATTTTACTGCTTTGCTTTGGATCTATGAAACATTTTGGCATATGGAAATTGATTTGATTTACATTTACTGGATTGTGTATTTTATTAATTTTTAAAAGAATTTTGTATACACACACACACACACACACACAGAGTATACATATTGTCTTTTTTCTTTCTAAAGAGATGAGAATGTTCTCTTTTGTTTCTATTTATCTCTATTGTGGGGAATTATCTTAATTTTTCCTGCTGTCCTTTTGTTACAGAACATCTACTTCTTTTGTAGTGAAGAGGAATTGCCTGTGCTTTGTTGTGAAAGTCAAGCTATAAAAGAAATTTGAATTATATGAAAAATAAAAACAATAAAGTATTTTGACTGTTATACATTATATATTTTTATAATGCGCAGAAAAAGAGATACAAAAGAAAGACAAATTGCAGATCCATTTAACTAATTAAAGCTTTCTTGGAAGCCTTTGAAGAAAAAAAATTAGATGAAAGATTTGACGATTTTACAACAGTTACAACAGTTATAAATCAGTCAAAGGATGACATACAGATACAAGTAATCCTCAACTTACAACAGTTCATTTAGTGACTGTTTAAAGTTACAATGGCACTGAAAAAAGTGGCAGAGTTACAACCTTGAGGTTCGTTGTGGGAAGCAAAGGGGATGTGGTGACTGGCTTTAACAGGCTGTTGTGGAAAACTGCATGGCTGCGCCTGAGGTTTTTGGCAGTGTTATTTGAACTGTTATTGGATTAATGACTCAGCCAATGGAAAATGGGCCGATATACTTCGGATCCAATTTTTTAAACTGTTGTCTGGGCTGCAGGCATTTGGTGGAGAGATACTTTTTAATGATTTCATGTGCATCTTCTAGTGCCTTGTGCCCAATAGGCCAGGTAGTTTGAAGGGATTTAATTCATTATTCTAGAGAGATGGTTTGGAGGCTCAGCTGATACAGTCCAAGTATGGGGCACATGCGCAGGGGATGTGCATGCATTGCATTTTGGGAGTTTGCACACACGTACGCACATTCACGCGCACTTGCACTTTTGAGCACTCAGTGTCAAAAAGGTTAGCCATCACTGGAATAGGACATCCCTATCTGAGATGATTTGGTCTGGGATCCTGTGAAGCCTGCACGGAGACCTTTGCCAGAGTACATGCAGAGGGGATTTGGGAGCATGCCCGGATGTGTATTTGTTTAGAGAAAGGTCGATGACAATCCAGATTATTGTGTTCCCAGAGGTTTCAGGCAGCTCAACCAGGAAATCCATGGAAATTTCTTTTGAGGGTGCCTTGGGGTTTGTGACTGGTTGTAGTAACCCAATTAGTTTGCCAGGGCAGCCTTTTGCTGCTGTGCACACCGGGCAGTTACAACCTATCACTCTATGTTCTTCATGTGGGTCCACTAGAATTGATGTTTTATTTACAGCATCGCTGTAGGATGGGTAGCCATTGGCCTTTGGACATGTAGTGTTGGTTTCCTACCCACTCTGTCATTGGGGAGAGTGAAGTCTGATTGCTGGTGGGTAAACCAACCATCCCTGATTAAGGACATTTTCAGTGCACGTTCAAGAGGCACCCACTTGAGGCACCATTTTGGTCTGTGATCTTGAGAATCTGGAACCCGGAGAAGGCCAGGAAATTCCTCTCCCAGGTAAATAGCATAGGATGAAACCCATCGCACTTGTTTTGGAGATAGCTTTCAAGATGTTTTAATGCTTTTGTTCTTGTGGTCCATGCGCACCACAAAAGGGGTTTTGCTACCTTCCAAAAAATGCCTCCAGGTGAGAAGTATCCACTGCACTGGATAGGTTTCCTTTCCCCAAACCTGTGCTCTGCATTCGAGAGCTTTTGAGAAGCGTAGCACAAGTCTGCAGGGTTCCTTCTTTACTATCTGAAGGAGAACAGCTCCCCTGCTACATCACTGTTATTGACTCCATAATGAACACGGTGCCCTCCCCACCCACCCATTATTGACCCATGTAGCTGGGACAATGCTATTGGAGTTTTCAGTTCTCTGAAATGCATCCCCAGTTACCTCATATGCCAGATCTAACTAGGCATCAGGTGCACCCAGAATCCAGTAGAGTGGTTAATTCACCCTTGTGCCCAAGATAGTCATCACTAGTTCTACTTGTATAGTTACTGATATTATGGTGCAAGTTACCAATGGGTCATCGTCTCCTCCACTGTCACTCTCTGTTCTGGTCTTGGGATCTTTGGTTAGAGTTCCCTCACCATCACTGGTGGAAGAAGAAACTCTATGACATCCACTCTTCTGGGCTTGGTGGCCCCTTTCCACCCATTTTTGGCTTCCGGGAGGGGGTAGGTGCCAGGATTGGCAGTCAGCAGCCTGATGATCTTCTTTGCTGCATTGAAAGCATCTATGGTGATGACGGCTGGAGATATGTTTACCTAATTTTGAGGGCTCTTATTTTTCTGTCCCAAATGATTATCACTGTTCTCAATTGAAATGAGCATGGTACTTGGTCAGGTCTATTTCTATCTCGTCCACCAAGACATACCAGCCCTGGTGCCAGTTTGCTAGCTTTCTGGCCAAGGTTCCTCATTTGAGGGGTTTGATTCTGGTCTGGATTTTCCAGTTGGCAAGTGGATCTTTGAATTGCTTCCTCAAGGCAGCCATAAATTTGTCAAATTGGCACAATACCACAGCAGTGGCACCATGGAGCGCCATGAAGCAGTGATGGGGCAAAGCAGGCTGGCACACTGACAACAACTATTAAGAGATGCTGTGGTTCAATTGACACAAAAACATTCTGAACAATAAGTGTTGCAGACATATTCACAACAGAGATCTATGACTTTGGGAAATGAGATGCAATTGTTTAGAAATAGCCCAGTTATAATTTTAAGAAAATGTTTTATTATTAAAAAATCAATTGAAGACATTTGATCCTGGACAGATTAGCGATAATGACTGCAGTAGTTTATGGTTGATTAGAAACTGTTATGGACTTTCTGCGTGTAAAATACAATAATAGATTGTACTCTGAAGTTTAATTTTGTTGTTGGGGTTAACCCTATTAACTTTTCTTATGGTAGCTAGATGGTAGCTCAAAATTCATTGGGCAAATGGATCTGTAGAAGTTTATAAATTGTAGACCTCTTTTGAAAGTATGTGTATGAGAAACATTGTTGAAATATATTTATCAGCATTCAGCTTGGAGGGACAATTTATGTATATGTTTTTAATGAACATTTTTGTCTTTAGTTTTGCTTTTTTTTTGTTTTCCTGTTTTCTGTTAAGTTTGTATTTTAACTTTGGAAATGAAGTAAAGAAATATTAAACAAGCAAGGTCTAACAATAAATATAAAAGATAAGAGAAATAATATCCAAACAAAATATGTGGTATCAGGCCCAAAAGTTTTCTGGAAAAGCTCAATGTTTAGCTTTTAAAAATCAGACAATGATAGAGATAAGTAGATCTTCAATCCAGAAGGCATCACTGAAAAATAGTACTTCCAAGTTTTAGCTCCCTCCACCTCCTCAAAATGATGGTCCTGCTAATAAACAGCTAAAAGAAATATGTTGAGAAAGCTAATCTAAAAAATTTTTTTTTGGGGGGGGGGGGACGGACTGTATAATATTGCTGCTGTCCTGATAGAATACACAAATAGAATGGGTGTATGATCCCTTGCACTAGACAGTTTGTGTTTAAAAAAAGAGTTTCAACTTTAGAATATTTGGGAAGAGTGTTCCCTACTAGTAATGAAAATTTGTATGTATGATAATGTGACATATTAATCACGTGTAATTTTCTGATAAGACCACTTTACTTGCAGAAAATCATTAAAATGTTTGTGAATTCAGAATGAATTAACTGGATACTATTCTTTTTAGTAGGTTCTCTTTTGCTTTAGAAAAAATATTTTTCTAATATAATATTTTTCCTTCAGTTACTGGAAAATTCAATATTTATAATTATGATTATATTTGTAGACCTGTCAATATCTTAATTATGGTTCTCTTTTTACAAATACAGTCATTCTGCAAGTAAAAGACAAAAGCCACTCTTTTGAAGACAGCAAAGTTTACATTTTGGACAGAGAGGACCACTGGTTTGAAAGAAGGGTCAAAGCAGCCATCTATGTCAAAATTGAACACCCCTCTCTCAACAGAATGGGAGGGATACAAAATCATCTATCACCAATCTACAACATAGTCCTTTCAACAGTTCCAAGAAGGCTCCGCACCCATTTGCACCACTCAGTGACCCTGATGACACAGATAAACCTCCAGGTGGCCTTAAACATAGTAAAAGAATGCAAATGACCAGGTGTCTGCAAGAAATATAAATCCTTTCATTCCCCACCATTCAGACAAGAGTTGAAGAAGCTTCTTGGATGAAAAGAGCATCTTCAAAGAAAAACATTAAAGTCATGTTCCTCTTTGGGGGGGGGGGGGGGGGAGCACATTTGGGACAACCATGACCTGGATTACTGAGAATCTCCATAGATATTTTTATAGTCAATTCCAATACCTTATAGTAAATATATATTCTAAATTTCTCTGGACTATTAATCCAGTTATAACTTTGTTAGATCAATTCTCATTTAATTTTCTGCTGCTTATTTTCAAATCCTGAACTTCCTAATTATCTTTTCTTTTGATAAGAATTGAAAATAAACTCACCTGATGCCTTTTCAAATTTGTCATTCCAAATGTTTTAATAGCTTTAAGATTTAAAAGGTTAATAGACAGTTTCCAAAAATAATTAGAAAGTGAGGCTTACAAACCTAGTGTATTTTGAAAGATTCCACCATGTCTGAGCTGATCCCATTATCTCCTAGCAAATCAAACTCGCAGAAAATCACTGATTCTGCAGATGTGAGAAGTAGCCATCCAAAGTACATGTGGACAATCTCCTGTCTTCTCCTTGCCTTTTTAAGAGACTGGTCTATTCACCAGTTATTCATCTTTGCTGCAGTTGTAAGGTCCATTTTTTTGTGGAGACATATTCAGTTTACCATATCTCTCCAGATTCTGCTGTATTTGTCATGCTTTTAATTTCTCTGGCTTAATCATTTCTTAATCCTTTTCTATCTTTTATATAATACTGTTTATTGAACATGTGAATACTGTTATTGTTATATGTATGTATGTTATATGCCTGTGAGCCACATATGCTTAGTGGTTAAAGTACTAGGTTAGAAACCTGGAGGTTGTGAATTCTAGTAATGCCTTAGGCAGAAGCCAGCTGGGTGACTTTAGACCAGTCGTTTGCTTCGAATTTCTTCTTTGAAGAAGGCAAAGACAAACCACTTTAAAAAATGTTGCCAGGAAAACTGCAGAAACTGGTTCAGACAGCTGCTAGGAGGCAAGACTTACTCAAATGTGTCTGCACGTACACACACACAATGTGCATACTGGGAACATTGAAAGAAATTATACAGATAATTTTCTTTTCTAAGGAACAGAAAAATATGAGGAAAATTAAAGGGATGAAAGCCATTCTGAGAAATCAGAGATGAAGCTCTTTTGAAGAACAGCATGTTAAAATGTAGGAAAAATTATCAGAATAAATTGTCAGGAAAAGACAAGAGAAAAATATAAAGAATAAGAAGGATGACTATTATTCTAAAAATAGTAGAAATGGCATATTGATCTGGCTATAACTATAGTTTAAAATGAAACTAATCAGAAAGAGAGCAATAGAAGATGAGTTGTAATGTGAAACATACATAGCTAGTATGATTAAGTTTCTGTACCTCTCAAGATGTAATTCTGGTAGTTCTGGTCTGCCTCAGCTCCCACTTTTATTAAACAAGCCAGGCCTTCTGCTATAACAAATTCATGAACCAAATCCTTGTCATCCTGTAAGGGAGAGGACAAAGGAAAAAAGACAAATGATACATTATGTAGCATACTGAAAATAAAGTAGCAGTGATTTTCACTATTCAGTCGTGTCCGACTTTTGACGATTTTATAGGCAAGTGCTCTTTACACTACCCTATCAAGCACAGCTTCTTTCAGTTGTTTGTATCAGCTTTGATTGCATCAAGCTAGCATGTTTTTTGTTTTCTCCTTTTTCTTGTTTCACTAAGCACATACAGACCCCTCATTTTGTGGCTATGGCAGTGATGAAAAAGCAATTTTATAACCAATCCTTGCATTTGTAACTTTTTCAGGTCTGTAAAGCAAAAAAAAAAAAAAAAAAAAAAGCGGAAGTAGGATCATAAGCACAGTTGTGGTTCATTTAAGAAACTGCTTCATTTAACAACTAAGTTGTTGGTCCCAATTATGGTTATTAAATGAGGACTAATTTTTGGATAAAAAAATAGTGTTCTATGTCGATATAACCACTCTTCAATAAATCATTCACCGACAAACTAGGATAAAAAAGATTTTTGGTGTCCAAGAATGTTTTTGAAGATGTATCATAATCTGAATGTTATCCATTTTGTCCTTTTCATTCTCTCTTTCCCTAACTACAAATGCTTTAGATCAGCAGTCCCCAACCTTTTTTGCCACCAGGGACTGGTTTCGTGGAAGACAATTTTCCACAGACCAGCGGAGAAAGGAGTAGGGATTACAGTCCTATAAGAATCTAAGGGAGGGGGTGTCAAATTCAAATCTCACAGGCAGGATCCGCAAAGGACCGGACCATGATACCTCTGGTTGCCAAAACAGGGCATGGGGGGGGGGGCATGTGCAGCCCCCGCACACCCTATTTTCGGACTGCACAGCCTCCTGCAATACTTTGACAGCCAGGTGCCGTGCAGGAAGCATCTATCCCATCTTCCCCCCTCCCCAGCCAGCTCATGGAGGAGAACTACAATGCTGATCTGGCCCTCAAAGAAATCCAACTTGACACCCCTGACCTAAGGCCTGATGATGTGAGGTGGAGTTGACCCTTCTCCCCATGTGCGTAGCTTTTTATTCACTCTGCTCTCTCCATATGATTTTTCTTCCTAGAATTTCATAGAAACTAAACTATCACATCTCTGTATTATTTAGACTGATGATCCAGTCTAAATCTTCCTACCCGTTATGACAACTATACATATATTAAAAATAATTTAAATAAATTCTGTAGTTTTAGGGACTAGCAAAGAATAATTGCAAATCTCCTATATTAGCAACTTATAGTTGGGTCCCCAAGCTGTTAAAAGAACCAAATTTTGAGAGTTGTCTTAAATACATTGAGATCATGGCTAATCTTACATAAGGAGGAAAGATGTTCCAGAAAGAGGGTGCCACAGCAGAAAAAGATTGCTTCCTGGAAATTTTCAGACAGAATGCTTTAGCAGATAAGATCCATTACATGCCTTCCCTGCTATATATCTAATGAGACAGTACATGTATTCAGGAAGAAGCAGGAATTTCATAGCAGTTAGTATAATCTGTTCTTTCAGAGTGCTTATACCTTTTGTATGTGTGTAGCACTTCTCCCAAAAGACTAGATTTAGGCCTTTTTATTCCTTCCCCAAGTGACTAACCCACTAGCCCTGGAACACCAACACAGCTAACACATTAGTTTGCAGCAATCCAACTAGCACACAAGTAAATAATTCAGCAGGATTCATTTATAGAAGAAACTTCTGTATATACAATAATATAAAACATGATGCAGGTATACAATACCCATGTAGCTCTTGCAATGTGGTAGCAAGTACAAGGACAAGAAGCAGAAGCCAGAACCACTAGAACTGAAGCACAGAAACACAGAAGCTCTATATTTATATAGACCAGTTACCCTAAGCTAATCTCTAAGCCATCTGGCATGGCTCACAACAGGTGCTGTTTCTTAAGTCACCAAACAGTTCCCATTGGCTGACTTGTTGTTATGGCTATCCCAGCTCATAATTTCTTATATACTGACACTTCTCCCTTTATGACTGGAATAGACATAAAACCGAATAACTTAATATTCTTCCCATGTGTACTCCATCCAATGGCTTGGTCATTATATCTGCCAGGTTGTCTTCTGAAGAACAATGAAGCAAGCTAATTAACAGATAACAGATAATCAGAGTTGGAAGGGACCTTGTAGGTCATCTAATCCAACCCCTGCCCAAGCAAGAGACTCTATACCATTTCTGACAGATGGGAGTCCAATCTCTTCTTGAAAGTCTCAAGTGATGGCATTCCCACAACTTCCGAGGGCAAGCTATTCCATTGGTTGATTGTTCTCACTGTCAGAAAGTTTCTTTTTATTTCCAGGTTAAATATCTCCTTGTTCAGTTTCCATCCATTATTCCTTGTCTGGCCTTTGGGTGCTTTAGAAAATAGCTTGACCCCTTCTTCTCTTTGGCAGCCCCACAAATATTGGAAGACTTCTATCATGTCTCCCCTGGTCCTTCTCTTCACTAAGACTAGCCATGCCCAATTCCTGTAATGTTCTTCATATGTTTTAGTCTCCAGTTCCCTAATCATCCTGGTTGCTCTTCTCTGCACTTTTTCTAGAGTCTCAACATCTTTTTTATAGTGTGGTGACCAAAACTGGATGCAGTATCTAGGTGTGGTCTTACTAAGGCTTTATAGAGTGGTATTAGTACTTCCCTTGATCTTGACTGTATTCCTGTTAATACAATTTAGGATTGCATTAGCTTTTTTGGCTGCTGCTGCACACTGCGGGCTCATATTTAGCTGGTTGTCCACTAAGACTCCAAGATCCCTCTCACAGTTACTGCTATTGAGCCTGGTTTTCACTCAGTCTATATGTGTACTTTTGGTTTTTCTTGCCCAAGTGTAGGACTTTACTTTTCTCTACATTGAATTTCATTTTATTAGATATGGCCCAGTGTTCTAGTCTGTCAAGATCCATCTGGATCTTGAGCTTATCTTCTTGGGTGTTAACTATTCCTGCCAGCTTAGTGTCATCTGCAAATTTGGTAAGTTCCCCTTCTATTCCCTCATCTATGTCGTTAATGAAGATATTGAAGAGTGCTGGGCCTAAGATGGAACCTTGTGGCACCCCACTGCTTACTTCCCTCCATGTAGACTTAGACCCATTAAGGACTACTCATTTAGTATGGTTTGTCAGCCAGTTGAGAATCCATCTGGTGGTGGTGCTATCTACCCCACTTTTTTCTAGCTTACCATAAAGTAGGTTGTGGTCTACTTTGTCAAATGCCTTGCTGAAAACTAAGTATATTAAGTCCACAGTCACTATGTTGAAGAATGAAATAAGAATATTTTGGCATCATCTGTTTTTAACAAACCCCCTGCTGACTGCTAGTTATTACTTTACTTGTTTCTAGAATTTGGCAGATCTGTTTTTTTATTATCTTTTCCATATCTTCCTGGGTATTGATGGTAGGGTGATTGGTCTGTGTTTCCTGGGTCTGTTTCCCCCCCCCCTTTTAAAGCCCTTTTCCAGTCCTCTGGTAGTTCCCTGGTGCTCCAGGATTTATGAAAGATATTGTACAGTGGTTCTGAGATGACCTCTGCCAGCTCCTTTAAAAGCTCTGGGGTATAATCCATCAGGCCCCAGTGATTTGTGTTCATTGAGATCAGACAGGTGTTCTCTTACTTTTTTTTTTTGCTTATTTTAACTTTTATTTCTGGTCTGTCTATTACAGTTATTTTTTGGTGGGTTGAGCTATAGTTTGTCTTTGCGTGAAGACTGATGCAAAGAATGAGTTAAGCAGCTCTGCTTTCTCTCTGTTGCCTGTTACTTCCTTGCTGTCTTTACATTTACATTTGAAAGCTTCTCTGACATTACAATACTTAATGTCCACATGCTTGCTTCTATTTTTCACTCTGTCACCTGTTGCCATTTTAGTGCAAGCAGCATTAGCCTTGAACACTGTTACATTTACATTTAAGCTTCAATCCTGTAACAGCTGTACGTACCAAGTTACCTCTGAACAAAGTTCAGATAGAGCTATAAGTTCTGTCTCCGCAGTAGAAATGGCTACAGTTGTTGTTTTCTGGACTTCCAACCAATTAAAGCCCTTCCAAACAATACCACAATTGGACTTTCTGGTTTTTACATCATTGGCATAATCACTGTCAACATAACATTTCAATTCTTCAGAGACCTGTATTTGAAGACCCAAGTTCAGAGTTTCCTTCAAATACCCGAGAATCCCTTTTATACCCATCCTATGCAATTTATTTATTTATTTATTTATTTATTTATTTATTTGATTTGCCAATTGTTTACAAGATAATAAGTATAAATGTATACATAGTTGTGAATACATGAAATGGGTACATATAAGAAAAATAAAAGAATAAGAGAAACAATAGGACAGGGACGGTAGGCACGTTGGTGCGCTTATGCACGCCCCCTACAGACCTCTTAGGAAAGGGGTGAGGTCAATAGTAGACAGTCTAAGGTTAAAGTTTTTGGGGTTTGGGGAAGAAACTACAGAGTCGGGTAGAGTATTCCAGACATTGACCACTCTATTGCTGAAGTCGTATTTCCTGCAATCAAGTTTGGTGCGGTTTACTTTGAGTTTGTATCTATTGTGTGCTCTTGTGTTGTTATGGTTGAAGCTGAAGTATTCATTGACAGGTAGGACATTGCAATGTATGATTTTATATACCATGCTTAAGTCAGACCGAAGACGGCGTAATTCAAGGTTTTCAAGTTCTAGAATTTCAAGTCTGGTGGCATAAGGTATTCTACAACGAGTGGAGGAGTGGAGAACTCTTCTTGTGAAATATTTCTGGACTTTCTCAATTGTGCTAATATCAGATACGTAGTGTGGGTTCCAGACTGATGAACTGTATTCGAGTATTGGTCTAGCAAATGTTTTGTATGCTCTGGTTAGTAGTGTGATATTACCAGAGAAAAAGCTACGTAGGATTAGGTTAACAACTCTTAATGCCTTTTTGGCTATGTAGTTGCAGTGGGCTCTAGC